AAAGTCAGACTGACTTCATCCTCTGCTCTCAGAGAACCTGAAGACAGTGCTCAAGCATCAAGATATCCGCTCAAGCCAATGTCTGTCATTGTCTGCTTAGGCTTTTTATATGCATTGGTTATTTGTTTTACTAATGGCTAACACCAAGCTGTTACAGTAGTGTGTATGTATATGTGTGTGCATATATATGTATACACACTCAAGGACCTATGAATGGGTTTTGCAGTCCTTGTGGCCTGTAACTGTTCCCATAGCCATGAGTTAAGGCTTGGTTAATGGATGTCAGTCTGTCAGTTCTTGAACAATTTAGGAAATTAGTTATTGACATAATGGAGAAATTATCTGAGTGTATCACAGCAACCTATACTCGAGGACACCTCCGTCTGCTAAGGTTGACCCTAATAATTAACAGCCTTACCCAGTGCCCCAGAGGTGCTTTATAAGGCACAAGGCTGAAGGTTAAATATCTTCTGTGCATCAGATGTGCTCATTACACCAGTATGTCTATAATGGCTTTCCTGAAGCCACAGCAGCTTGTTAATTGATTGTTCTCATTTTACAGTCTTTCCAGGGGTCCCCTGTACCGTTACAAAGCTGTGCCCTTGTCCTGGCCAGATTGCCTTTTCCTGTTCAGCCTGAGAACTAGCGTCCCCTCGCTGAATGGGGACCCACCTGCCATCCCTTCGCTTGCCCTTGGTCAGCTGTACAGTGCTGCTCAGGCACCCGCTGCTTCCTCTTCCCCCAGCCCCACTCCTCCACCTCAGCTCTTCCTTCTCTGAAATTCAAAGTCTCCACAGCCAGCTGCCTCCCGTTCAACCCTCCACCACCACAGTTTAGCATTGAGGCAGCCCTGCAGTTCTCCCTTGTTTGGTCCAGGGTTTTTTAACTTAAAACTTTTCCAGTATGAGAAGGTGATGATGAATCAAAGGCTGAGTGTCATGGTGTGGAAGAGGAACAAGGTTTGCAAGGAGAGCATGACCAACTGGTAAACCACCTGCTTCTCTGATCAACTGCTACAGCTGGAAAGAAAACCAAAAAGCTTTCTGGGATGGGAACACCTTTGCTGGCTCATTTGGAGCTGAAGCCATTGAGCTGTTAATGCCACATGCTCCTCCCTATGTCCCAAGTGAGAAATGAGCTGCAAAGGCCTCAGCCTTGGGTTGAAATCCTCCCAGGTACTTGGGCACCTGGCTAGAGTGGAAGGTAGGTCCCTGCAAAGAGCAGCTGGGCTTTAGCACCTCCCGTCTTTTAAACAAGAAGAAAGATGACTGAATTTTTGTTTTGCGTGTAGCAGGGAAAGCAGAGGCTAAAAGCAGGGGGAATTGGGTTTCAGCAGAGCTTCCCATTTCTTGGCTTAAAACAGACACATGCTCCCATCGTCCCATTGCCTTCACTCCACAGCTTTCCCACGGTCATGCAAGGGGGGATGCGCAAAGCCCTGTTGTGTTATGGCTCTTGAGGAGGTTTTACCGTTCCACTTGGGCTGAGATGCTCCTGATGGAGGGAGAGGCTAGACACACTGTCAGGATTTGTGGCTCCCTCTCCCCTAACTTTGGTGGCAACAGACAAGTCCAATGATGTATTTTAAGTGACTGACTTGAGGCACCACTGTTCCATAATCTAGGCAAAATGGAGAACCCAGGCTAAGGCAGGATAAGTGGTAAATTAGCATGAAAGGCTGACTCTGAGAAGAAAGAGCTAGTCCCTAACCCTGTTTCGTAGGAATACCTTTGTGCTTGGGCACAGCATATGCCATCATCTAGCTCCACCGTGCGTTGGGATCTCTCCTCCTGCCTGCCACAGGAGAGAGAGATTTTTTTTTTTCCCCTCACCCTTTCCCACACCAATGTACAAGCACTAGCAATGCTTTCTCTTCAGCGGGGTGTTTCAATAGTACCAAGCAGGCAATTTCACGTAAATCACGCTCATTATTTGTGTGGTTTGGTAGCACTTTTGCTTGAAATGCCTTTCCCGTTCTCCTTCGCTCATCTGCTCCACAGCCTGCATATACTGGCCTCTCCGACGGTAAAAAAAGTAGCAAGCTGGGGTTATAGAATTCCAGATTGGCAAAGATCTACCGGGATACCTGTCCTTAGGATGACGGAAGAAGACATCTGGCTGGCACAGGACACCCCTCAAAACTTGCATCCACCGGGGCTCTGAAAACGCATCCTCTGCAGTCAGTCATTCCCCCGACGGTAACTAAAATGGACCCTGCGCCCCAGGACGGTGCCTCAGGCTTTCTCCTACCCTCGTTTTAAAAATATCACCTTTCATATTTTAAAACTGTTTGGAAAACTTATTTATGAGGAAAAAAAAAACCAAAAACCCAAACCAAACGCCGCTGCCTGAGCACAGGGCGTTGTGCTCCGAGCTGTGAGGAGGGGCTCGGAGGCGGCCTGCCAGGAAGGCGAAGCCCACAAGATGGCAGGGCCGCACCGCGGCACAGGGACCGCCCTGACAGAGACGTTAGCGGCTGCTACACAGGTTCATTCTAAAAAGAAGCGCCTAAAAGACGCCCGGGCTTTCACCTTGCCGTCGGACTGAGAAGAAAGTCAAATAAATAGAGCGTAGCTTGGGCAGAGATTCCTCGCAGAAGGTGCTGGAAAAAAACCCCATGGGGACTCCCAGTACCCACCCTCCTGTCAGGGAATAAAGCGTTAGCTGGTGTCTCCAGGGTGCCCTGTGGCCGCAGCTCTGGGGCACGGCTGGCTGGAGGCAGAAGCCAGGCGTGGGGTCGCAGTGGGCGCCGTGGGGACTGCCCGTGCCCCTTGTCAGGCAGGGCGACCACAAAAAAGGGGGGGCAGAGGGGTTGCATGGGGCTGGGGGGGGCAGGTGGGCAGCGGAGCCTTGTGCAGGCCTGGGATGACTTGACCCTCACTGTGATAGAGAAGATTTACAGGTTTTAATATGCAACCAGTCAATTATTACTTGGTTTGGGGAAGCGAGGGCTTCCTTGGAAGTGGGGCTGCCTTATATTCAGGTAAATACCCCATCCCTGGCAGCATTCAAGGCCAGGTTGGATGGGGCTTTGGGCAACCTGGTCTGTGGAAGGTGTCCCTGCCCATGGCAGGGGGGTTGGAACTAGATGATCTTTAAGGTCCCTTCCAACCTAAACCATTCTATGGTTCTATGATACTTCACATCGTTTGATCCTATCCCAGCCTTTCCCCCAGAGCCAGATTCTGCCTTGCAATGGCTCAAGCAAAATCTTGCTGGTTGCACCACCATGCAGGATCCCTCAGCGCGGGGCACAAGGCATGCGTGCTCCTGTGCAAAGCAAAAGGCAGGCCCCCCAAAATGTTTGGAAAGCTCGGGGCTTCTGCATGGCTACCTCGTGACTTCTCAGGCAAGCACATCCCTGCCTGGATCACTGCCTCCAGCCTACCCTTTTTAGCATGTGTTGGCACCACGTTGGCTTGGTGATGGGAGGCTGTCTCCAACCTGCAGTGCAGGTGGTCTTCGGGGGGGATCACTGCTGCCCCTGCATGTGGGACTTTTTGGCAAGTGGAGTTGGTGAGTAGTGCCATCCATGCCTGGGATTTTATTTAATACTGGGAAGCTCATTGCACATACAAGTGGTCTTATGAGAAAGGGAGAATCACCAAGACTTCAGGTGCAGCTCTGAATTCCCCAACTTCAAGGGCAGCTGTGACAACAAATTGTTCTCTGTATCTCAGTGAAGAAATCTCCTTAGTACGGTTGTCTTCATCTGCTGGGATCCTGACATCGTTCTCAAAAAAATCACAACACCTGGAACAGATTTGGAGTTGATACAGCCTCATTTCTTCCCCAATAGTACAAGCCAGTGCCCTCCCAGCTGGGAAGAGCCTGGCTTTTGAACAAGCCTGAAACTCCAATGCTCTGAGATCCCAAGCACTCATAGGATTTGGCTTATGGTAGACTCCTCAAAGAAAATCCCATGACTATGCCTTTAAAAAGAGATGGCCCTTGCTTGGGCTTGCTGTGGTTAAGAGCTTCAGGAAGCTCCCCAGTCCTGTTCTGCCACCCCTTCATCACCACAGCCTCTCCACTCCTCCTCCTTCCACGTGGTTCAGCTTGCATCAATCCTCTCCACTGCCAGTGTCCTGAGGAGAACGTGCAGGCTGTATCCTCTCCAAAAACACAGGCAAAGAAGGTACTAGAGGAGATGAGTCAACCTCTGTTTAACATTTTGTGGGTTGGGGTTTTTTAAAATTATTTTGTTGGGTTTTTGCAGTGGAAGCAGGTCTTCTCTGCTTGGGCTTCCCCATGTGACTTCCCCTTCCAAGCTCATATCCTCTGCTGGCTGGTGCAAGCAGCTCCTTGTGCAGTCAGCTTCTGTTCTTTTGAGGCACCAAACTCTCCTCATATAGACTGCAAGCACCCCACATGGCATTCAGTGAGCCAAGCATTTGAATGCTCAGTATTGTTGCATACTTAAGTACCTTTTAGGCTGTATCTCTTAATCCTGAAGCTCTAAAAAATGCTAAATTCAAATGGAAAATAATAGACAAACTTGTTATGCATTGGTACCTCTGTGGCTTGCCTAGAGGCAGAAACGATGTTGAGACTTTTTCAAGTGAAACTATTGTACAAACATGTTGAAGGGAGGCACACATAAGAAGAGACTTTTACTGGAAAACTTCACTCCTATAGACAACGTGCTGGAACAGAGGTCTGGTGACAGGTAGAAAAATTACCCCAGTGTTTTAAGAAACAAGAAAGAGGATCAGTCTAGCTACAGTGAAGAAGAGACAAGGGAAAAAAAAAAAACAGCTCCAATCAAGCATGCCAGGGCATAACCCTCTCTGCAGATCTCTTCTCATAAGGGTCCAAGCCCATGAAAGAACTTGCAATCAATGGATGCTAAAGTCTACTGAAGGAGCAAGCAGGCCATTAATGTAACAAGTCAATTAACTTTGATGGAGCTGACTTTTCTGGAAAATTAGCTGGATTGCCAGGGTAACCAAATCACAAAAGGATGCAGGACACAATCAACACACAGAAGGATACAGACATTTGCTGAAAAGTTCTATGGGCATGACAAAATTAAATGAAACTGGATGTCCTAGAAAACAGTTTCCACTTTCATCATGTCTCTTGGCTGGATTCCACAGCATTGCAGAAACGTTTCTACAAGAATTGATTACTTCTCACATTCTGGGCCCTGGAGAGCTTCCCACGCCACCCAGAATAGGTAGGTCTTTTTGCGTACAGGCTTAGAGGTGAGATCTAAGCCAGCTGGGTAAAGCCACCATGCTTCAATTACACATTACTATGCATATGACTGAATCCTGCGATCAACAAGCTGAAAGGAAAGAGAGTAAAAGGACTAGCCACTTATTTTACACACATTTAGCAGCAGGATATGCATATAAAAGCAGATAAACTGAGGGAGCAACAGTAAGCTAATCTGAGCCAGAGAGCAGAGGTAGATCTTCTTCTGACACTGCGAATAAGCTTCATCTGGCTAGTGATGAAGCAAATGGATCCATACTACAGAGTGAGGTCAAAAGCAACATAGAGTTGAAGAAGTTTTAGACTCATGAGTTCAGTTTAGCCTAAAACATGGGTCCTTCAGTTCCAAAACTGAATGTTCCCCAAAGGCTGAGAACAGTGTGGATCAGCTCCTGTCTGAGTCTGTTTTCAGCTGCAGTCTTTGCAACAGAGTAGCCACTGCAGGACTTCACCTGGTGCCCCGACTAAGCCATTTCCATCTCCCCAGCCACAGCCTTGTTCTTACATCCTCTTTACCTTCCTGCACTGGAGCTCTTTGCTCATGCAGATACTTCTACTGCTTTCCAGAGGCATGTGGGCCTCTGGAAAACTGCTTGCATTTCCTAAAAAAAAAAAAAATAAAATTAAAAACTTTTCTTATTCTTAAAAAGTTTTTTTTTTTCCCCACATAAAAATAAGTTCAGGACTCTCACTATTTGGAGATCTCAGTTCAAACCCCTGCTCTGCCTCTTAACTTCCCAAGTTCCAGAGACTTGATGCACCAGGTTAATGGCTTGTGGGTATTGATGACAACTGGATGACAGCTCCACCCTTTCATTTGCCTTGTTTCAGCTCTGACTTTGTACAAAATTATCCTCTGGAGCAAGGAGAAGCCAGCAGACTTGATTTAAGACTTGAGAGAATAAAATTCTTGCATCATCCCAAGGAGAGGGGGAGGAAGCAGGAAAGCACTGGGACCCCAGAAAAGGCAACAGGGAATGAGAGATTCTTGATTTCCACCACTAACTGGTTTTCCAGGAGAGAAGTCTTGCTTTTAAAAGGAGATTAGAGCACTTTTCTAGATAGGGATTGCAGGTATTTTGCAAAGATACCTTAGTGCATTCCTGTCAATAGCTACAGCATCTATAAATTTATACTTCTGGATGAAAGGCACTTTATCAAAAAGTTCCTGACAAGCTCTTATCTATGCAGCACATCACTGTCATACCCATCCCGTGTGAAATCTGTGCAAGAAAGACAGGGTTCATTTTGTCAAATTATAAGGAACAAATGGTGCCAGACTGAGTAAGAAGCAGCCTCCAAGACCTACTGCACCACAAATCTCAATGCAGCACATTGCACTGAGCCCAGCAGCAAAGGCAATATAAGGAAATGGGTATGAGGGAAACTAGGAGGCATGGAGAACAGGTGAGTCCAAAGCTCAAGAAGATGAAATAACAACAAACAAAAACGAAGCTACTTATCCGAGCTACCACATGAGCCGCTGAGCATCATGAATTTTTACTCATGCTCTCCTGAGATGAAAGACACTGACACCAATCCGTACAGAGGGCTTGTGGACTGGAGAAAGACTGGTCTTGCGATGGGTGTTGAGAATACATTAGCAAAGCCCCAAGCAGGTGAAAGATACAGTCCTTGCAGAAACAGAGGGTGTATTAGTGTGCCAGCAACGGGGCTGTCATTTTGATTCTTCCCTCCTGCTTTCTGCTAAGTGCTGTTTTTCTCAGTCTCTCCGAGGTTAAGGACAGATGGGAACCATTAGATCTTCACGGCTCCTTTGGGAACTGTTAGTCAGACCTCTTGCATATCCCAGCCCTTCAAACTTCACCTGCTTACCTTGCCTGAGTCTTGGCTACAGTGTCACTCATGCTTTTAACTGTAGTTAGCACACATCCATCAGAACATGCCTGTCTTGGCTCGGACACATCTGGAAAACGCGCCAACCGCCCTGACAGCTTGTTACAGTGATTAATCACCTTCATTCCAATAAATTTGTGCCCAGTTTTTCATATGAATTTATCTGGTTTCAGCTTGCTGCTACACATTCCCATAATTTACTAGATTAAAGAGCCTTTCAGTACCTGATATTTTTCTCCCAAGGAAGTTCCTTCACCATCATAATCAATTCCCTGCTCAGTCTTTTTTGATAAGCTAGAGAGAGCGAGTGCTTCACATCTCCCATTGCAAAGCATTTTCTCCAGGCTCTGAATCATTTTGTGTGGCTCTAATGTTCCACCACCCATTTTTCAACATCAATTTAAAACACACAAGCCATCCCAGTGCCAGTCTCATGAATACAGTGTGTGCTCATATCCAGTTGCTTGTCCCTTAGGACTCTTAAAAAAAAACAACAAAACTATTCAGAGTCTTAGGCAGATGCAAGATGGCTTCCTTCTGGCTGGTATTTGGAGCAACTGAAAACCAGCCATCAGTCACCTTCACTGGTGCTGCCATCTCAGCAGGTGAAGAGAAAGCATGACAAGGCTGTCTCCCTGCTCATTCACTGTGATGTGATTCAACATTGGAAAGCAAGGCTGCCCCTGCGCGGGGTACCGCACAGATTGCCCCAGGCACACCCAGACCACATCCATAGGGATAAACAAGCCAACGGACACAGAGCAGCCGTGTCCAGGCTGTTAAACTCTCTTACCTATCAAAGTGGAGTGGCTGCAGCCAGACTTTTTACATCTATGCCTGGGAATTGTTTGGGAAAGTGCTAGCAGCCTGGGCCAATGCTGTGCCAGGGACCATTCTGCAATCTCGCCATGGACCCAGCTGAGCTCCAGTACCTGGGAGTGCTCCCCACCACCACCCCCTTTACCAAGAGAGATAAACGCTGCCTTAACACAGAACCAGGCTCCAAGGAGGGAGAAGGATGAAGCGACTCCCTCGCTTTCTCCTTCCAAACCCTCTTTCCCGACAGGTTAGCAGGGCTTCAGACCAGAGGGGCAGCAACAGGCTGGGGCATCCTTTTCCTGCCCAGTGGCGGTCTAAGGGCTCTCACTGACACTGGAGAGGAAAGACGTCCATCGCAGCAGAGCCTCCAGCAGGTGCATCAGGCCTCTCAGCGCAGCCTCGTGTGTCTCAGCAAGAGAAAGGACACAGGAAGAAAAGGCAATAAAGACACTTTTGCATAAGCTCAGAAAGCAGGTCTTGTGTCTGAGGTCTTGCATCACCGTGTAGCTAGGATCAAATCCAGGCTGGCAACCGCACCTGGGCTGATGCTTTAGCCCTGGGGGGGTCCCTGAGCTGCCCATCCTGCATCAAACATCCACCCAGCACCAGCACCCCAAAGCTTTTTCATGGCAGGCCTGTCGGGCTGCCGCTTGTCAGAGTCAAAACAGCAGTCACCCAGGTATCCGATGCCAACAAAGCTGGTGGCACTTCGCACCTGTTATAGGTAGATGAGGTGCCCAGGCTGAGCCTAGATACCACTTTTTCTACAGTTCCAGGGTTCTCAGATCAGGAGGTTGAGGGAAGGGTGATTTTGGGAAAAGTTAGTCTCCCCCCCAACTCAACAGAAGGGAACAAAAAATATCTGATGGCTAATTATTTCATTAGATTTTGACTAAAACAATAAGAACTTTCTCTTTTTCCACAGGATTGTCCCCTTTCTTATATTCTGTCAGTGGCAGAAAATGCTGAATCACAAACCTGGAGCTTTAAAAAAAAAAAAAAAAAAAAAGTATTTCATATGCAGAAGAAACATATCTTACATCATTTCATGTTTCCTGCTCTGCTCTCTGGTGCCACGTTCCTCATTTTCAGGCTGTTTTAAAGGTCAGGATTTGTTCTGTGAAGCTGACCTCAGACATGGGAAATATGCTGCCTCATCACTCCAGGATCTTTTCTCACATGATTAGTCCCAACATTCCTGCAAGTAGAACAGTCCCCAATCACCACCGCTGCAGCCACAAAAAAAAAAAAAAAAAAAGCAAGATATTTTTTCTTTCCATTCCCCAAGTTAATATTTACCACCATCACAGCCTCATTTCATAGGCTGGGGGCTACTTCAGCAGTGTAATGCTATTGCCATCTATGGGCAAGTAATAGTCTTACCAGTCATACTTAACGAGTTAAAGTCAGAATACATACCTAAACTGACAACTACTCTCAGGAAAGTTTTAAAGGACTTTAAAGAGGATTTTATTTAAGATTTTCCAACGGCTAAAATATATGATCTGGATAAAAGTTAGTCAAAGACAGCAATTACTTCTCATGGTATTTGTTTTAATCCTTATTATGTATTCATTCAACTGGCTTCATTTTGCATGAATAATTTTATTTTGATGCTATAGTTTGAGCAGGCGGGAGAGGTCACGTTAAGGTGTTGATCCGGAAGAAGCATGCACACTCTATTTTGAAAAAAGATCTGAACTTATTTGAAATCACTACTATTGATTATCAAATGTTTAAAGAATGATAGAAGGCACAACAGTGATGAACAAGCTTCAGTGCTACAGGAAAGCTGAAAATTAATTTACTTGCTTAATAACTCTTCTAAAAATGTAAGATTTCAACCTGAATAAAAGAACCAGTCAATTAATCTACTGGTTATAAATTACAAATATATACTGACAAAATTGTCTGATTGAAGTGTAAAAGTTACTGCAAACTCTTTTTAGCTTGCTTAAGCCTCTAAGAAAGAATCTGGCTCTTTTTCAGTAACCTAATGGACCATGTTCATATGAAAAAGTTTTTGTCAGTATCTGTAAGAAATAGAAATCAAAACTGAACTCCCACTCACTGGGAGACTCTACAGGTGACATTTAAAAGAAAGCACAACACCACAGCAAGATGAAAAATGGGTTTTCTGTTAAATTATAACTAGCCAGACGGTTATACTGCTCTCAGGTTCATGATAAAGGCATAAAGATTGCCTCCCATGCCTGCAGAGCTCATTGCCAGGTGGCACGAACTATGCACGGTTAACTTGTCAGACTCAGCCTCTTCTTGTTGGTCTCTGCTGAACCAGCGAAAGGAAAATGCTCAGGCCCTGAGAGCAAGGATTGCCCCACAGCTTGTCACTCAGAAAAAAAAAAAAAAAAAAAAAGGCGGCAAAGGCATCAGACCCATCTCAGGCCCTTGCCAGAGGAAGGGCACTGTAAGACTGAACCTCGCAGAAGTCATACGAAAAGAACCAAAGCACAAAGTCCTCCTCTAACGAAGTCAGAACAAAAATGTTTGGATACGATTTCTGGAAGAAAAAGCCAGAGGTGTTTGTGAATAAGCAGAAGAATAGGCACTTCCAGTGACCGCAGAACTATAAACAAAAGCACTTTTGTGCACTCCCAGATTACTTGCTCTTATTTTCTCTTACAGTCACATGCTTATGTGGGCCTGTACAGTTTGAAAACATGATTCATTAAGACGCCTTAAATTGCTACCAAGTATTGTACTATTAATACTGACTTTGTTTTAACTTTCCTGTTACTTGGTATAATTTGTTTCATAACTGTATCATCTCTTACTTGACCAAATTGCCACTGAATCCTTTAAAAGTTTTTGTGGATATGTGCACTATATTTCCAAAGCATTTCAGATTTATGGGTACCCCCCACCCCTGTCATTGTTTCATTGGTTCAGGGACGTTCCCTTCTTTTCAGCAGATTGAAACATCCAGTAATCTGAAACAGATTTGGTGACCCTATAGCATTAAATCATGCTTTGTGGTGCTTTATTCCTGCTCCAAAAGACTTTATGCATTAGCGGGTACATAAAATTGCACCAGAGACTGAATACATATTGAAAAGTAATAAATGATTCCATATGGTCTTAATTTTTCAAAGCAGCGCACCACTGTTTTAAAGCAATAGTGTTTAATTTTCCAATTAGGAAGATTTTTAAATAGCCCTTCTAACCCACAGATATGGGAACACTCTCACTTCAGATACTCTCCCCAGCTGAGAGATTTCGGTGCACCAACAATTTTCACAGTCAAATGGTGTCCTTGGTTAGCTAGCTAGCAAGGGTACAATTAGCCAAGGCAGTTAATTTCCTCCTTTTATTCAAAAAAGCTTGTGTCATCATTACTGCGAAGACACAGGTCACAAAGCCTCTGTGAGCAAACTGAATAGCATACGTTCCTCTTTAAGCTTCACGTACTTGAACATCTGTCAGACCTCAGCTACAGTTCCTCCCCAGTTTTCCCTCTTTACTTCCAAGGAAAAAATCTATTTTGGTAAAACAAGGCTTATAATACCTCTACCTAGATACATTTTAAGCCCAACATGCCTATTTTGGAGAGTAGCTACTGCATTTGGAAACAGCAGCCTCTTCAACAGATCAGTTCTCAGCATGTATTCAATTACATATGCTCACTTAAATGGTACCCCCCCAAAAAAAATTAACAAAATAAAACCAGGTCTCACTCTCGCTGTCATTGGCTCTCCACAAGTAAAACAGCAGTGAACGACTTAAGATGCACACCTTTAACACAGCAGCTTGCTAGACTGAAGGAAATGATTTTGCAAGGCAGGCAAGGGTGCATACGAATGGAAGAATTCAACTTTTCAGATTCCAAGACGAGTTTGCAGGGCAGTTAGCTATAATTGCATGCCCTGAGCATGTTTAAGTGACATTCACATAAGCTGCAAGGAATGTAAGGCCTTTAATACCAGAAGCAGGACCGGGGCAGAACTGAGGCACTGAAGTTAAGAACTGCCCTCCCAAAAGCCCCTGCTCAACCGATGCCTAATCCCAGAGGCTGTGGAGTCCTATTTTTAGGTTGTCAGCATCCCAAGATACAGGACATTCTGCCTTTCGCATACCCAGAACCACCCCATGCCTGCAGAGCTCATTGCCAGGTGGCAAAAACCACGTTGGGCAGCTCTGTGCCTCCCTTCCCCCTGGCCCAGCACTGGAATTTGGAGCTCAGACACGTCTCCATGCAAGACGAGACCCTCGGCCCCAGCTGCGCAGCCTGCTCAGAGCACAGCCGACACATACCAGAGGGCTCCAGCTCCTTACAGCACGCTGCTGTGATCGCTCTTCCAAGACGGGACAGCAGGTAGGAGGTGCCCGTCGCTATCCCATCGCCTGCTGCAGTGTGTCTTGGGCACTCGGGAAATGTGACCCCCTTCCCATTCCTCTGACTTGATGCAGCTCCTGAGTCAGCAGCCACCCAGTTCCTCCAGGGTGGGAGAGAGAGAGAACCAGCTGCAAATGCTTATCATCAACTTCCCCACCATGTGCTGAGCCGCCGACTGCTTTTGCTTAACACTTCACCAGCCCCTTTGAACCCTTTCTCAACTACCCAGGGGGGCACTTCCTTCCCTCTGTGTGCCTTGCAGGTGCTCCCCACACCAGGAGACCCAAGGTCAGCTTCTCCCCCTGCTGCCCCCGACCTTCCTGAAGAGTATCTTACCCGGGAGGTATGCTAGGCTAACACACACTCCATTTTGAACCAGCCTGTTGAACCCGTACTGCTGCCTGGGGGAGAGGGTGGGGATTCAGGATTCAAGGAGAGGCCATGACCTAGCAATAATAATATTGCCATGGGGAAGGGAGGGGAACAGCCTTGGATTTCAGTCCCCTTTTCCAAGTGTGCTCCATGTACTTTACATTGAACGTTTGTCAGAGGACAAAACACAAAGTTCTGGGAAAAGGACCAGGAGCCACATCTCCAGCTCCTAAAGAAGCGCTCTGATCGCTGGAGATACAGAATGACGGGGGGAGGGAGGTGCTTGGACTTCTTCCTCCCGGGGCCACATACAGGAGAAAATAATTAATTCTTCGAGGGAACAGAAACAGGCTGTATGTAGGCACCTGCTCTCAAAAGGAGAGGCCAGGCTGTGAGCCTCAGCAAAGGGAAATCCTTCCCCGCAGCCCTCGTTCTCTTCACCCCGTCCCCGATTCAAACCTCTGCTACACAAGCGTGCCTTACGTTTGCAGGTAGAGGGAAGCAGGGTGGTTATTTTAGGGCTGCGGTGTGCAAGCGCCTCTACAACGAAGCAAGGACCGAGGCTGCATCTCTCCGCACAGCACCGCGCAAGCGGGACAGCCGCCTCGGGGACGTTTTTGGCCAACCAACACCGCCACGGTTCCAGGGGTGTAGCTTTCGGGTCTCCCCATCGGGGCCCTACCTCTAGGCACTTGGCACCCGGCATCCTGCCGCCAGACACGCACCGGGTCCCTTCCCTCACGCAAGGCCTGCGAGTCCCCTCCAGAGGTGGGCTTCGACGTAGCTTTGGGAGAAGGGGAACG